CTTGCACCACTCGAAAAAGCTCCGCCGGGCGACATTGTGAGGAGGCAATGGAAGCGGAAAAAAACCTCTTTTTCGCTGCCCTCACCGCCACAGCATAGGCCTGATAGTGGGCTCTCAAGTGTGTTCGGTCAGATTCATCCCGTGATCTCCTCCACCTACGCTCTAGCCGTCTCCCAACCTGCTTCATCGCTCGCAATTCAGGTCAGAATCCTCTTTCAGAATGGGAGAGTCAAAAAAGAAATAAAAGAAAAAGAAAAAGCCCCTCTGGTGGACCCAAACCCTTGACTTTGCAGCACGTCCTTCAAATTTCATCCCTGAATTGCTGCCTTTTTCTAAGCACCACCCCAATTTTGTATATGCAGCCTTGTCTCCCTGCAAAAGTCAGGTCCCCAGCATTTGAGAAAGGCAGGATACTGGCCCTCACGTTTACTTTGAAACACAGCTTATATCAGAGCTGAGTGGCAATTTCAGAGGCCCAGGGGGCAATTTCTGACCTCCAGAACACACCAGGGACTATATACATACACACTCTCTCTTGCTGAAATCACATCTAAATTCAGTGGCAGGGAATAGGAATGGGAATGGGAAAGGGGAAAATTAGCTCGTTAATAAGTCTTCCAGGGAGCACCCACAAAGTGTGTGTGTGTGCTTCTTTAATACCTTGTTTCAAAATGTAAATTTTTTAAAAGTGTAAAATGAATCAATTTGGCTGGCGCTGCACTGCTGAAACTTGGCACCTGTCCAGTGGCTGTGGCTTGGAGGGCACTGGGGACTACTAAAAATGCCAGGATGCATGTAGCTCATCCCTGGTCTACATAGCAATTGACAATCAGGCAAAAGAAATATCTCCAGTTCAATTATTATACTTTTAATCCTAAATGTACTTGTTTCTTTAAAAATAGGAAGCAGTATATTTTTCATAGCTATAAAAAACAGTCAGTTTTAGTCCCAGGTAGTTGTCCAATGTTCTGATTCTTGTATTCTGAATCTCTTCCAAAGCATTCACATCCAAAGTTGAGCAGTACAACGTATACTGAGAAATGGTTGCTTGAGACTTTCTGGAGATAACTCTGACCTGAAATCTATTGCTAAGCAAAGACTTCATAGCTCTTTTTGGCTCCTTTCTATTGGGCTGCGGCCAGTGCTGGATTTACATATGGGCTGAATATATCACAGCCCAGGGTCTCATAATCTAGGAGGACCTCATCCTTCCACCAAAATTAAATTTTAAAAATTTCAATTAATTTCATTTGTAACAATAAAAATCTGTGGCATACCTAGACAAAAGATTGTTTTCTTATTGTTATCCTAAAAGATCATTATTCTAAAAAGAATCAAGAATGATCTACGGTCAACAATGTCCCAAGATGGGTTGTCTGATCTAAGCATTCTCTGTGTAGAAAATGATAAATGGTGACTTACTGGTTTTAATGATGTGATTGATAAGTTTGTATCCAAAAAAGTTCAAAAGGAACTGTTCTGATTTTGCATATAGTGAAATGTTATAACAGCTGTGATTCTCCTATGAATGTTCTATATGAATGTCTTCAGTAATTCCATACTTTGTAAATTTATTTATGTTTATACATTCATAAGCAACCTTTTAATCAATGCTAAAATTTTAGCAATGTCCTACTCTGTTTGAATAGGTAAAGAAGAAAACAAGGTTTTGTTTTTCTTGATCAGATGCTATTAATTCTGGGCCTCCCAAGTTCTCCTAGCCAAGGGCCTCTAGCTGCTTTAATCTGGGATTGGCTGTGCTTCATCTAATTCCTTGGACAACTCTAAATTAATGATGTCTTTCCCCAGGCTCTTGACTGCAGAGGTTCCATAAGGGGATTTCTGTGCCTGGGACTCTGTCCATCTCACGTTCCTTTGCAGAACCCATTCTGCTTAGATCATCCGTGTTGCTTACGCTGCTGCTTGCCTTGACACAAATGCAGTGGAGATTCCAAGGTAAAATCTACTGTTCAGACTGATCTTTGGTTGTGTGTAACTTTCTAGTTTTAAACCTGTTTCCTGGACCACTTCTTGTACTGCCTAGAATGTTTTCTTACCTGGGCTGCAGTGACCTATGCCTTTACCTTGTATTTTAAATTGCAGAAAAAGGCAACTTGGAAAATCCAATTGGACTAGTTCCCGACATAGTTAGTAGCCTGAATCCTAGGTCTGCCAGGAGCCTATTACACTATAGCCTTAAGGGGAAGTCTCAGCTCCACTCAAGATCTTTCTAGGCTAATTAATCCCAGAATCCCTGGACTATGTTGACTTCAATCCCTGCAGTGCAAGTTTCTATGTATTTGTTTATTTATCTATTTCATTTTTATGATGCCCAATAGCTGATGCTCTCTAAAATTCTAAGAAAGGAACTTTTCCAATAAACAGGAACTTACCTTGATGTGACTTATTCCTGTATCCTTGAATACAATCAACTTGGGGCAACATGCACTGAGATCCTGCCCTTGGGAAAGTCTTTCAATTGCCTACAGAGTGCTTGAGCTGATTCCTCTTGAATCATGGGTTTATTCTGAACTTCCTCAATTTAGTTTCTCTTGGTCTGCTGCAACCTGTGATCCTAAAATGTGAAACTTTTCCAACAAACTGTGACTCTGCCTAATTGTCACTCATTTATGCATCCCTGAAGCTGAGTCAGCCTGGGGTTCTAGCCATAACTCTTCTTGTATCATAGACAATAACCTGTTCTGAATCATGCATTCTGAATATGAATACCTAAGTGCTTTGAATCCCTATTGTTATTCTAAGACTATGTCTCTGGCTATAATTATACACCTCTGCATTGTCCCTTCCTCTAATCCATCTGTCCTCAGTGAATTAACTCATATGAAACCTCTAATGTTAAGTGCTGTGACCTCTTGAGTGTGGTGTTGTGTTGGCATCAATCAAACCAGTCACTGAATCTCTGTATTTGTCAGCCTCTTCTAAGTTATAGAGTGAAACTGCCCAGACACCAAAGAGTCCACAGCAGGGATGGATGAACAAGCAAAACTCAAGCTTGATGCAGTTGGCTGAATTCCATCTTGCAGCTCTTTCTTGCTCAAGTCCCTATCAGACTGACAGCTTTGGGTTTTGTTTTGTTTTCATGGCAACAGACAGTCTTCACTTTGCTTTGAAGTAATCCCAGCTGTCATTAAGAGACTGTGTTTTGAGAAAAAATGAAAACTAGAAAGGATAGGGTACCTGGGTGACCACCATGAAAGCCTATAAGTTCCATAGTCCTTACCCTTTCCTTCTAGCCTCGAGCTGAGTACTCCATCTCTCCAACAGCTCACACCAGCATTGACACTTTGGCTGCATGGAATGTGGTGCTCTTGAAGGAAGAGATCCTGGTCCAGTCCTGGAACTAGGCTTCAATATCTTTTTCAACTGTCTTCATTTGCTCAGGCTCAGGGGGCTCCGTTTCTGCTCGCACCTGGATTTTCCTCCAGTGACACCACTGACTCTTTGACCTGTTATTACTGGACTCTGTGTCATGACAGGGATTCAGAGTGATGTGAGCAACTAGGTTGGCTGAAAGGGACTTCCATGGGCCCTTTCCCCCAAGGCAGTCCCCCCAGCCTCTGAATAATATTCCACAGAAGACTTGGGGAGCCTGCTGTATGGATGATATGTGGTATAGAAGGCGAGGACAGCTTCCTGAAAAATCAGAAACCACTAGTGGACTGGTACCGCTAGAAGATCAAGAAGAATGTCCCCCTACTTGTACCCCGAAGATGGTGTGGACCTTTCTGAAGTTGCAAGCACTCCTCCTGCCCTCCCTCAACCAACTCATCAGGCAAAATGGATGCACCATCCTTGGTCATGCGGCTTTGGAGTGTTGTGTCATGTGTATTGCCCCACCCACCCATGTATCAGTTCCCTTGAGAGAGATAAATGCTGCAACATTTCAGAAAATTCAGCATACAGACCTTTCCACTCTCTTTATTCCTAGATTAAAGGTAATGGCATACAGTTCTTAATTATCACTGATGGGGGGAAAAAAAAGAAAATTTCCTCTCTGCATAAAACAGAAGCAAAACTGAAACATTTTAAAGCCATCTTGCTTCAGGGCTTGAAGCTGATACATATAATATTACTATACATATGTACATTACATGTATATTATATATAAATATAATATATGTAATCCAGTAACCACAATAAATATCAGGAAGGGGCTTTTCTTTATTCTTTTTAGGCACAAAGCTTAGAAAAATGCAGAATCTGCACAACCTTTAAGAGTCTTGGATTGACTCACTCTGACATAATTTTCACACTGAAAAACCAAAGATAGTATGTAAAATACAGCCACATCCTATGCCGTTCCCCAGCGTCTGAGGAATATCATGTTTCCAGCATCATCATACTTTGTTTTCTAATACTATTGCTCCATACAGCTATTACATGTAAGAAAATAATCTGCAGGGGTTTTTTTTAATGTGTTTTGTTTGCCTTTTCTTTCTTTTTTACTCAGCTAGTAGCCTAAGGAACTGGGCGTGCTTAAAAAAAGTACAGGATATCTACAAAACATATGTACAAATAAGTGCAGTTAATACAGGATTGGTGAATTCTTTGGAACACATTTTTCAAAGATGGGGTAGTTAACTCGCAGGAACAAAGAAAGGGTTTCCAGTTGACAGCAGTAGAGAAATATGAATTCACTTAAAAAATTGCTGCAAACTGAGGTCACACCTGTACTCTAAAGATAGAAAAATTTCAAATTAAATGCAAAAATAATTTTTAAAAAATTGGCAATCCTGACCAAGCTAGGCCATCACTGATTGATATTTATGTGCATTCCCTTTGGTACAAATGGAACCCAGAGGATCCAGCCAAAGGGGATTTTCAAGCTATTTGTACCATCTGTCATGATGTTTTGCAAGACATACTCATGGGACACCTGAGATTGCACTCTAGGAAGTGAAGCTGACCACCACTTCTCTCAAGAGAACAACTGTTCAGTGGTTCCCTGTAAGGACAGAGGTGACAACACTGCTTTGAAGCTACAAGTCAGACTCTGGCATATCTGACATGTTGGCCATTATGTAACCAATGCCGTAACGACCATTGGGAGCGGTATCCACTGTTGGAGACCCAGTCTGTTTTCGGTATATATTTTTGCCGAAATTTGGAGAGGGCACCTCACTCGGACTCTTCCCATGAATCAGACTGGTATCATCTCCCTCAAGATTCACAGGCTCTTTTATGATGCGCCCTCTTTTGTAGGAAACAGCTGCCAAGCTACCAGAGCTGTCATCAATAAGGTTGCACCGGCGAATCACGTAGACTACTGGGACAGGGAGCATAGCCAGAATAATCAGAGATATGCAGACAATCAGCCCCCATGTTGGGTAGTTCTGGAATTCCTCTGTTGCCTGTACGGTCCAAGAAAAATGTCATAAAGATTAGTGAATCTGCCTGCCATAAAGCCAACACTTCCATTGCCTCCACCAAATTTTAAGCACCCTTAATAGTCTCTTTCCCAAAATTATCCTGAATCCCAATTTCTTCCAAGATTTTAGACTTCCACAAAAGATTTGGTCTTGTTTCTGAAGCTAGTTTTTACATTAGGGGTTCACCACTCTATTTTTGTTTTCCAGTGTTAGGTTTGATACTGCACAGTCCTGTGCATGAACTGTTTGCTGCAGCCTTCGGTTCTCTTAACTTGTTCATTCATTCATGCCTTTTACACATCTACATTGCTGTTGACAAAATGCTGCCAAAGATCCATCTTGCTGGGATGGTATAATGATCAGAGCCCCATGCAGGTGTTGTATCTTTCACAACTTGTGGTCTTGCAGGCAGTTTGGCCTATAATCCCCATCAGCCCCAGCCAGCAGAGCCAATGGTAAATAATGCTAGGAGATGCATTCCTGCAAAATATGGAGGGCTACAAGTTGCCCATTCTTGCTCCATACTGTTAACATCACACATAGAGATAGTGGGCCTGTGCGTGCTAGCTCCTTTCCTGCATCTTTTGCTGGCCACCCACACTGGCCACATGCTAGGGGAAAGTTCTGAAGTGACAAAGCCTGATGAATATGTATAGGCTGTTCCCATGAGCTGGAAAGTAAGAGCATCAGGGTCTAGCTTGTCAAGCCCCAGCAGCCTATGCATACACGGCCTATTTCCCCACCTCAGACTTTCTCCAACGTATGGATGCAGGGGCTGCCGTTGGCATGCTTCAAGATGGAAGGCGCAGGACTAGCACCCATAGCCACACTCTTTCTACCTGCAATATAGTTTGCATGGAGAGCATAACTCCAGTGTTGGGCTTGGATCAAGATTCTTTTTTGCATCATGTTCCCTCGATACGCATATGGACACACGTGCACTGAAAAACCACAACACAGAAAGTACATGGATGTGATTGTATGTGTGACTGCGTGAAGTGTCCTTTTCTCCTTTGTTTTTGACAATGCTGTGTCAGTGCTCACATCCACACTGATAATGGTGAGAAGTGGGAGTGGCGGGGCAGAGATGAAAGTGTCCTGACGGAACTTATGCCGCATCACACAGCAAAATTATGACTAGATTATGTAACTAATTTGAGCAATTCTGCTAAAGTAAGATTCAGGAGTGGAATATAAGGAAGAGCATACATAAATTTGAATAGTCTTGAATAATATGCTGTATTACATATACTGCTATGTTTGTACTCTTAGGACACAACCCTATGGCCTACTGACATAGTCCGGGGAGTCATAGGATTTTTTGAGTCCCTGCCCTGCCCCCTTGCAGCCAGCATCACTGCTGCCAGTCCTCACTTGGTTCATCAATGCACATAAACCTTCAAGTTCAGTCATACATGCATCGGCTATGGGGCTGACAGGACTGCAACCTTAAAGTATTGGTGGTGAGTGTTACTTTTTTAAAAATTGTCACTCACCTTCTCTTCAATCCATGCATTGTAACCTGGAGGACTTAATACCATTTGGACAACACTAGCCACCAGCAGAAATAATAAAACTATCGGGGAAATATATTTCCATGTGTAGTAATAGTACTGGTATGGAGAAAAGCCAAGCATATCTTTCAGGTCTTCCATAAACCTGGAAAAAAGGGCACATTATTGGTTCATATGAGTATGGTCTAGGGCAGAAGACAGCTAATATAAAAAGAAATCATTTATTGGCAAAAATTAAAAGAAGAATCTACCCTTTGGCGTATCGTATGAATTAATATTGAACAGCAAAAATGGAGGCCACCACTAGTGTCCCTCTGCCCTTTTGTCAAAGCACCGGCATGGCCACAATTAAACAGTGCTGGGTATTAAAACAAGTCAAGATATGTACTTACTTGTCAATCCCATAAATATAGGACATGGCAATGTTCTCCAAAATAACAACAATAAGCAGAGGCAACGTAGCTGAGTAGTCATCAAACATTGTTACGAAGTAATTACCAGACCGCTGCACAAATATTAGGCCAATGCAGAATGCAAGAAGACAGCAAATAACTGCAATAAAGCACAGGAAGAGGAAGAGGGCATCACCACACACCCACAAACATTCTGAGCTGCTACACCTTTGCCCACCACCCTCTGCATGGGACCAACTTTTCCATTTTTGCTGCTGTGCTATAAGGAAGGCCAGGGGGCTGTTCCACTATCTCTACCAATTGGAAATGGGTCAGAGCTTGTCATGCTTCTTACCCCCCAGGGTCTTCCTTCTCTCCCTTTTTGGGTACTAGAAGTGAACACATGAGCTGGCAGATGTCTTGGTTCTTGGAAAGAGAAATCTAGGGTTGAAGAGGACGTTGTGTGGCTTGCATTTCAGCATGAACCTTCCTATGGCCTCTCCAGTTCCTGCCCCACTCACTAAAAGTCACCCAAGTTATCTAAGCCAGGTGTGAAAACATCTACAGATGTTCTACCCTGGCCACATAGATGACCAGATCATTCTACACCATTGTCTGTGCCATTGTCATAAACAAAGAATGCTGTTAGTCATGGTTTGGAATATCAGAGTAGAAATATTCCTTTATTTGCAACCCTGTAGCAAGGGGAGCAGCTGTAATTGAAAAGAGCACTCCGACCATATAGGGGTGCCACCTTAAGAGAGATGCCATCTTAAATGACATTTCTCCCTTTGAACTTGTCTCAAGTTCCTATTGAATCATGAAATTTGAAGAAGGGCCTCTCTAAGATTTTCCATGATAAGCTCATTATAAGGTTTTAAAGTTGTTTATATTTTATATTGTATTTTTAGGTATTTTTAGGTCTTCTGGGAGTGCAGGATTTTGCACTAATGCTTGTTATCTTGCTTATATTAGGCAAAATGACGTGTGGGGTGTGTGTGCATGCGTGCACACGCGCATGTGTATGTCCAGATAAATGTACTCAAAATGCTTATACATTTTGATAGCACTTTTTTTTTTCAACACAGTGAAACAGAAATTCTTTGAAAAGAACTTAAGATAGAAAAATTGGGAGCAATTGGAAACAACAGATTTATCCATGCCAAGTGGCAACTCTTTAATTTTAAGTATTATCTCTAGAAAGTGATTTCAAGCTGGGTGTGAACAGAGCTTCTCAATTTAAAAAGAACATGAGCACCAACAACCCATGAAATAGTTCTGTCCAGGCTGCCACTGCTAGGCATAATATGCAAAGCATGGGTTTGAAAAGAAAGACCTGGAGATTTAGCATTATGGGGTCTTTGAATGATGGGTCTCGTTTCAAAATCTGGGACTCACATTCCTCTTTACATACATGAATATGACCCCAGTGTTTCTGTGTATCATTTAACCTCTGAAGCATAACATCTGCAAATTTTGCCAGCACATTTAATGAAATAAGTTCATCCTGCTGGTGAATTGGAAATATTATTCTAATGTATCCACATTGGTCATTTTGAAATAAGTTTTCATTAGGGGCTGCAAGAAGAATGTGGGCTGTGTCAAATAGCCCTAAACTTGTTGTCTATTGCTGATTTACTATGAAACATTTGGAGCAAGCAAATATTGTCATGATTCCCCTACGCCAGTGATGGCAAACCTGTTAGAGACCGAGTGCCCAAACTGCAACCCAAAACCCACTTATTAATCGCAACATGCCAACACTGTAATAAAACGTGAATACTGAGGTTTTAGTTTAGAAAAAACAACTCACAGCCAGTCCAAGCAAATACACACACACACACGTACGCGCGCGTGCGTGCGCACACACACACACACACACCTTGGCAGCACACTGACAGGCCATCTGAAAGCTCAGACGAGTTGCAGCTAATGAGTTGCGGCTTGTGACATCATCACCTGGTGCCGCTAGTCCTTTCTGAGCATGCGCATGGCCCCTATGTGTGCAGTTATCTGATGCTCGGCTGCTGGGGTGATGCCGGGGTGACTTGGCTTGCATGCCAACAGAGAGGGCTCTGCTTGCCCACTGCAGCACACATGCCATAGGTTTGCCACACTGTCCTATGCCATGGCCACATATGACTCTCAGTTCTGTTCCCCGAATACAAGTTATATCTCTGTATCATGTATATGTGGTCGGGGGGGGGGGGGGGGGCAGGGAGAAGTAACACTTGCAAATACAGAAGTTTGAGCAAGTAATGACTGATTGTCCTGAAAATAGAAAATTCCATCTTAGCTGTAGGGAAAATTTCTGGATGCATCAATGCATCCACCAAACTGCAAGCCTTACATCTTGAAAGAAAACAGATCTTTGTCATGAGCCTTTCTGCCTAGAATTTAGGGCAAGAGAGGAGCATCAACTCACCGGTCAAAATTTCTTTTCTCACTTTGAAGGTGTCAACTATAGGTGTTGTGATTCCTTCAATGGTTCCAAACATGCTGCCGAGTCCCAGGTTGACCAGCATGAGGAAAAACATCACTGACCAGAAAGGAGCAGCAGGGAAGTGTGTCATGGCTTCTGTAAAGGCAATGAAAGCTAAGCCGGTTCCTTGAACAGCCTGTCAAGAATAAATCCAAATGATTACAAATGGGTGGGAAGGGAGAGCACAATCCAAGGAGGGAGGGCAAGCTCACTCACATGAGAAACAACACAACCATAAGGAGTAATCTTTGAATTTCACACTGTGTTCTTCACACTGTGTTTCACAGTGTGTTCTTCAGAAATGCACATCCATGAACAGGAATTTGTGCTTCTGTCAGGATGAATTGTACCTACTGCACCATCAGAAATTATATCCAGCTTTGTTAATATAAAAACTGTCTAGTTTTTCTACTTCTGTTTGTACACCAACCAAGGTATGTTTTGCCAAATGACTGAAACAATTCTGAGTAACAAATGGATTTTAGATTTTCAAGCATAAGGATTCAACCATTGTCTGTTGATTGTTATAGGTACAGTTTCATATGAAATGTGGAACCACCACATAATTTGCTAGATCTGCTTTGGGCACTACTTTTGAGAAAAGGCAGGATATACACAAAATAATTAATACATAATAAAATAATGAATGCTTACTGTAATTTCTCAAAGCCTCTGATTCCATAAAAACCAAGGGTCCATGCGGTCCCACATGCCATTTGCACAATGGCGAGCCAGCTGTCCATGGGAAAGCCACAAACAGGACATGAGTGCAATAGCACCATCCTTGCCCATGCTCCCCAGCAAGTGGTGCACATAGGTAAAAGTCCTTTGATATTGGAAATAGCAGATAGCCACATGGACTGTTAGTCTTTGCTAGCCTCATCCTACTTGAATTTGCCCAATGTTCTTTGCAAAGCATCCAAAGAAAAGCCATCTCCTCCAAACTCATCTTAAGACGCTGACCATGCAGCCTTCACAATTTGAACATCAAGTTATCACATTCCCTCCTCCCCCATCTTCCCTTCCTCCATTCTGGTTTTATGTAATATCCTGCCTGAGACCTGAAAATCTCAATGGAAATCTTACATTTTGTTAACCGTTGGTGTAATGTGGCATAATCAGTTATCCTAAGTAGCTACACTGATGTAGATTTGGGATTTGTCCTATGACCAAATTAGCATATTGTATTAAAAGGCAGCACTAATGCATTCTCTGGAAAAACAACCCTTACCCCCCGCCAGCAGCCATTCTTCAGATGTTCATTTAACACATCTTCAGAGCCATAGAGGCCACCCGTGCATAAAGCTGTACATGCAAGAGAACTATGTGAAGGTTTGGGGACCATGGGCTTTCTGGGCAACAGAGCTTTGTACAGATGTTCCAATAATTATATATAGGTTTGGGGGGTGAAGCTTGCCGCTACACTGCTCAAACTGCTATGCACTTTTATAAATCCTTAAATCAAACCTGTAAGGACTCCAGCTTGATGAAAGCCAGGATGGGTCACAACAGGTGGCAGTGGATCTCTAGAATCCTGCAACAACTGGCGTGGAACCGCTGTCCCAGGTAGGGTTACGAAGGTTACTATTGACATAACTGTATCAGCCCTGGCTTCTGTTCATGCAGGTTATCCTATTCTAGGAAACATATACATCATGACATTGCCCCACTGCAAGTCATTCCACCCTATCTTTAAGCCTGATTTACTGGTACAGACAGTGGTGCTTATTCTGTACACCACCTTACATTGACACCACATAGAGTCTCCAGATATGGGATATATGAGATTTGAATGGAACTGGACAGAACAAAAATGGAAGCATATATTTTTAGGCAGCTGATTCAGTGTTCTCAATGGACTCAGAAGAGCCTGTTGGAAGTGAATTGCAATATTGTTCTGCATTGATGCATTAGTCACTAATGTGTCATGAAGAATCACTCTAACCTTGTTTAGTTCATCTTCAATCTGGCAGGGTTTTAGACCAAGGGGAAACTCTTCTTCTTTTACTTTCTGGATGATATAGTAAAGTATATTATAATCTTCTGCTGAAATGCTTGATAAATTAATATGATGAGGTATTATAGTCCTGCTAAGATTGCCAACACTTAGAAGGTTAACAATCTTTTCAGAATTTCTGTAAAACAGAAAGCAAAACAAATGCATATGTTCAATTCTGGGAATTCCTAAATGAAATATACAATAAAAATGGATAAAGAAATAAATAATCATACTGGGTAATGCATTTCTCATTTATGATATTTGCTTTGAAGCCCAGAACGGCAAACACCACCAAAGTTGCCAGCACAGAAGTGAAAAAATTGATGAAGGACACCAGAACCGCATCGAAATGGCAGTTGTTGTCTCTCTTGTTGTAGCTTGAAAAGGCAATGACTCCACCAAATCCAAGCCCTAAGGCAAAGAACACCTGAGTAGCAGCTTCTCTCCAGACTTTGGGCTCCAGCATTATTTCAAGCTGTTTGAAATTAGACACAATATACATCAGCTACAAAATACAGCAATTCTCCTAAATGGAGAAGCAACAAATAAGACACCCCTTAATTCTAAACTCAAAGGTAAGAATTAAATCAGTCCAAAACTGAATTGAAATCTGCCACTGGATTATTTATGATGCGCTTTTCTATCTGTATTACACATTGGTGAGCATATACAAGCATGTGTTGATCTAAAATGGGTATTTTTGCTTGATAATTCCCCCCAATCAATAGTTTTTGAGCATAGTTATGTTAACAATCAGCAAAAAAATAATTTATATGATTAAATAACACTGTTGATCACCACAATAGAAGTGTGAGAACTATCATTCAGTAACTATCATTCAGTAACTTTTTAAAAAAATTACCTTACTTTTCTTTCAGTGAAAAATTTGGCATATATCTTACACAAAATGGGCAACATTTGTAACTTTTGGAATGTCAAATTAGTTTAGGGCTTCTTTTATTTTTATCTAATTCTGTCTTCAAGAATGTCTTATAGGAGATATGAAAGTAGCTAATCTTGCACTGGGAATATAAACCTTACTCTGTGAAAGTCAATGAAACAGAACCATTTGTTAGCTGATTTCTGTCCCTGACTACTCAGAAGTAAGTCTTACTGAATTTTGTTGGGCTAACTTGCACAAAGTGCGTACAGAATTTTCAATATATTTTAGATGTCAGAAGTACTATTATTTCAATTAACAAAGACCACTGAAATAGTATATCATTTCATTATTTCTATTGCCAGTCATAATTTTTCTATTAAAACCAACCATTTTTGTTTTACTATAATTTCCAAATATCACAGATTTGCACTAAAGATTATTCTGCAAAAATGTATTGTATAATATGACACATTAAACAGAAAGATTTTTTCTGTAGAAAAGAAAGTGCCTCAGATAAAAATCCCTGCATACAGTCATAGCATTGATTTCTCACTAGATGGCAGTAGCTATACATTTTTCGTTCTTCTGATTTTCCACTGATGGGTAACATGAAAAATGGGTTTCTCTTGACCAAACACATGAGCCTTCCCTGTTTGTAGTTCCAAATGTGAACATGAGAATACATCTAGTGAAAACATTTGCAAATTAGTGAACTAATGCTCATATTCAATTTTCAGAATTTTTTCCATTCAATTTAAACAGACTCCTAAGTCTGCACACATTTCTCAAACAGCCCAGCAGGAGCCTATGGAGAAAATGTGCACAACTCTGAAAATGTGTGCTAATATGGGGATTCAATCAGTGTTTGGCCCAATTTTCCTGCAAACAAGCAGCAAATCTGAATGTAAACTGGGTGTGAGACAAGCCATGAAATGATATTCAGAGAATCTTGGACAGCTTGAAAAACACTTCTGTTTGTCTATCCCTATTTCCACCCACATGTTAAACCAGATTCCCTTCCCTTCCCTTTCCTTTCCTTTCCTTTCCTTTCCTTTCCTTTCCTTTCCTTTCCTTTCCTTTCCTTTCATTAAAACATTTGTATCTCATCCTACATGAGAAATTCAATCGGTCCCTGGCTTTGAAACAATTAGTCATGCCCTGGAAAAGTTCTTTGTAAGTGTTTTGTCCTAAATACAGGTCATAATTGCCACTGATTCCAGTAGAACTCATTTCCCTCTGCGTCAAGCCGAGCAATAACAGTCATGATCTGATTAAAAACAAAAATGTGGATTTAAGGGTGCAGTCACATATACACTCCCTTGGAAGCAAACCTCACTGTGGGAATCAGCTCTGAGTCAGCATGCATGCAATGCTGGGGAAAGGAAGGTCCACTGCTCAGTGAAAGAGCAGGTGCTTTGCAACAAAAAGGGGCCAGGTTCAATACCAGGCATCTCCAGGTAGGGCAGGCAAAGATTCCTCTCAGAAATGCAGAAAGCTTCTGCAGTTAATGTAGACCAGGCTTCCCCAGTCCAGTACTTCCAGATGCATTAAAGGATAACTGCCATCATCCCCAGCATGATTGGACATGCTGCTTGGGGATGCTGCATCTGGGGGGCACCAGGCAGGGCAAGGCGGGTACAGTCATCCTCTCAGCTAAATAGACCGATGGTCTGACTCTGTGCAGGACAGCTTCCTGGGACCAGACGATAGGCTGCAATCAATGGGCTGCACATCTTGTGCATGTCAAAGGACACCAAGATACTGTTGGGAATTGCTGGCCATGATACTGCAATGTCATCTTCGAAATGCAATGGCTTGCATCTTGTTATGCTGACACAGTTCCTGCTGATCATTTCAGTAGCAGTTGGCAGTGTCTGGCAAGAGAGTAATCTGCAGATTTTCCCTTTTCCTTCCATTAGCTGGGCCTTTTGTATTTTAAAACAAAGTTATTGTTAAAACCACACGAATTGCAACTTTCTGAAATAGTATTAAGTGTATGTTCTGTTTAAATGCTGTTGTTATTGTTGTTTTTCTTTTTTCAACCTTGTAACACAAGAGTGGCATTGCTTACAGAACAGAGGTGGGTAATCTATGGACTTGCAGATGTCATTGGATTGCACCTCCTAGCCCCAGCTAGCTTGCTTAGTGGTCAGGGATTATAGGAATTGCAGTTCAACAACATCTATAGAACCACAGCTTGCCTGGACCTGCTTCAAACCTTATCTACAGTAGTACTTCTAAGTATTAAGGCTAAATAAGAAACATTACAATTTCGGTCTTGTTCACACATTCAGCCCTACACTGAGTTAATTTCCAGAAATCTGACATTACTTGAGGAAGCTCCTACAGGAACCAATTAATATTAAAGAAGATTCAGTCCCAAGACCAGATCTAGGAAGAACAGTTATAATTGCTGGGATTGTTGTAGAAAAAGGTGAGTAAAGAGGGATGTGAAAGAGATATATGAAATTATGCATGGTGTGGAGAATAGGGAGACCTTTTTCCCTCACTCATAATAATGGAACTTGGAGTCCTCCCAGGAAGCTGTTCAGTGAGAGATTTGGGATAGAAAAAAGAAAGGCTTGCTTCACACTTCTTCATTATGGAATTGCCTTCCACAAGGTATAGTAATGACTACCAATTTGGATGAATTTAAGAAGGGGTTATACAGATTCATGGAGGCTAAGGCTATCATCTCTACTGACCCTAATGGCTGTGTGTGACTTCCAATATCAGAGGCAGGATGGTTAAACACACCAGTTTGCTGGCAGACATTGCTCTCATGTGCTGCTTGTATGTTTCTGCTGGAGAGCTGATTGTCCCTGTGTGACCAGAATGTTGGGCTAGGGTTAGGGTTAGGGCCTCTGCTCTGATCCAGAACCTCCGCTCTGATCCAGTATGGCTGATCATATGTTTTTATCTCCTACGGTTGCTACTGAGCTAGAGATTTGATCCATTCTTTCCCTCCTAATCCTGGGTATACCAAGGGTGAGAAGCAAGTGAGTGGTGTAGCAAGACAGAGGGGAAGGATTAGCTACCGCAGGATGCACTGCTAGAAGTAGGTACCACAGCATTTTTTCAAGGAAGTATTTTACCCAAGGGTTTAAGAATTGTTAACAGCTTTGATTCCCCAGAGATGATCCCTTCTTTTGTCAACCCAAGACTGCCTAAGACAGTCTACATACACAACTAATGCAAAGTTATCCAAGATTTGCAGAGAGCAAATAGGCTCATTTACTGTTACTGGTCCTCCTACTCAAAGTGATCCACAAGATTGCAGTTCAGTCTAAGCACTTGAGACTCTTGTGTGACTCTTCCTAAATCCTTTAATCATCCTCTGGCTTGGTTTTCCATTATTAAGATGTCAGTAATACTTCCAGACTTCTGTAATGTATTTGTTTTCAAGGAAGGGAGTGTCTGCCTAACAGAGATTTGTAACTACATAGTATAAGCAATCTATGGGACTTATGGATTTTCCCCAGAGAAACACTCATGTGGTTGCACATTGTGTAACATTCCAAAAATACTGGAAGCAGCATGCTGTACTATCAGGAATGATTGCTAATGCCACAGGAAGCTAACACTTGCTATCGCAACAGGATATTCACTGAAAGTATCCCTTCCAGGATCGGAAAACTCAGCAGAACTTACAGAAGGGAGTTCCACTCATTTAACCTGATGTCATTTTGGTTAGTTTCTGAGGTTGCGGCATCAAGAGCTGATTTTGTGGTGTATTGCTATTCCAATATTTTTCACATTGGCATTGCTAGGAACAGATACTGCTGGAACATTTATGAATCTGCTTCAGCATCCCAAAATCTGTCTAAGCACCCCAAAACCTAACCCAAAAAATCATCTTATTGACTCTAGCAAAGGGGAGTTCAACTCAAGCTTCTGTTGGATCCTTACAATACATACACTCTAGAAATACTTTCTTTTAATTTACCAATGTTATTGAAAGGCTCAGGATCCTTTAGCTCTGCCCTACAGAAGACAAGAGTGGCTTCCTTCTGCCTGACACTGTCATATAAAACTTATTTCCTTATTAATATCAATGGCTTTTCATATGGGGGGGAGCCACACACGTGTACACATGCATGTAGCTGGACTGTGGACTACAGAACATATGCTTGCCCTTTTTTCGTCTTTGGAAAAGTTTGTGAAATTATTAGCTAATTGGATTTTGGCATGCTTAAGACACTTCCATAAATGTTCCAGCACTGTCTATTCTTATCAGTGTCTATTCCTACCATTGGACAAGCAATACAACACAAAACTGGCCCTTGATGCCACAATCTCAGAAACTAACCAAAATGACACAAGATCAGCTCAGTGGTGCTTCCTTCGGCAAGTTCACCTGGTTTTTTTATGTTCTGCTCCATGTCCTCAGACATGAATCCAGAGAGATGTGGATCGAGTCAGTTCATATCTCCCTGGAGCCATGACATTCCTGGGGTGACCTTGGGCCAATCACTGTCCCTCAGCCTGCCTCACAAGCCCGTTGTTAAATTAAAATATGGTGTGGAGGTGATACAGACTGTCACCAAGCCTCTTAGGGGAAGTATGGGATAAAAAGTATCATAAATAAATTGTCAAGCTCAGTTTCCAAGGTGTCTTTTCTTTTCCATCCAGGACCGCAAAGTAAGCATGGGTGCATAGATGCATAAATGCTATACACATGTGCACAAGCACTGCACATGTTGCTTCCCTGCAGTCTCACCACACTCTGCTAAGGAATGGGTCTGAATCAAGCAGCCAGCATATGCAAATAGTGCCATTTTGGTGGGGAAACCACTAGTCTTTATGGGCAGAAGATCGGTTTTAAAGGCGTAAAGGAGATGAGGACATGTATTTTCTTTAATTAATGGAGCTACTATTATATTTCATGGCAAATACACAACTACATGGAAGAATTCTTGATTGTAACATAATCTGATCCCAGAGTAAGAGCTGGTACAAACATTCAAGCAAAAAACACAAAAGCAAAAACAAAAGCACCAAGACTAGCAAATATAATTAGCAGAAACCAAGTACATACCTTAGGAGTAAACATATGACGAATACCATCCAGTGAACCATTTAAGAGTAGCCCTCTGATTAGAAAGCATATAAGTACCACATAAGGAAAAAGAGAGCTAAAATACATTATCTGAAAAATATGGAAAGAAATGTTTTTAAAAGCCATTAGTGGCCCTTATCTCTTACTGTCTAACCACATCTGCTTAGGTTTCTGCTAAGAAACTAAGCTCATCTCAGAAAGTATTCACAGTCAACAAATTCTGTGTTGGCATAAGAGATCTGTAAAACTGAGGGTTCAGTGCAACCTCACACAAGTGGAAGTCCACTCATGTGGCAGGATTTCTCCATCTTTGCCTTTCCACTGCAGCTCACCCAAGTCTGTTCCACAACCCACCAGAACAGATGGGCTTCTGTGCAGAAGTTCAGGGAAATCTGTCTCACCTGGAGCTTCCTCCTCCCAATTACTCAAAATAATATTCCACTAATATTCCATTTTGTTTTCCTTTTGAAATAAGAAATTCTTTATTTTGAAGATGGACTACATTGAAACACATAGTATCACCAGAAACTCAGCTCTGCCCCTATAAGAAAGGGCTTGCCATGTGACAGGTATGAGAGCCCACAATTGTACTCTGCCATGAGGAATATGCAATCTGAAACTGCTAGACCTATCTAGAGTCTTTGCTGGCTTTGGCATTCTTTGGAGCTCAGCACTGCGATTCTGCTGGAACACTGGAAAGGAAAGAATTACTCCATCACATCAATGTAGCTGCAAATCATATCTAGCATCAAGAATGTGCTCTTTGCCCTTGTCTTATCTACTTTCTCATCCAAAACTAATTACATCAGTGCAAACAAGGGCTAACACAAGCCATAGTCTTTTGAGGGACTGAAGATCTGAAGCAGGATTGCAGACTGGGGTTATAAGGGAACAATGTTTTCATTTTACTATGGTTTTCATAAGGGGGCACATAAAGTGTAGCTACAGTTAACACAAGGATGGGGACTAATATTATTCCGGCGGAGAATTAAGTATCTGGGAGGTGATTCACAGGTTTTTGGGTTACAACTTACACAACTCATGATTCCCTTTCTCCAATGAAAAGACAAAATATTGCTTCCAATCAGAGACAGGAAATCTTTGAGTCTAGCCCATTATGCAGGATGTAGTTCTGTGCTGAAGTCCTTAAATCTTACAAGCAGGGACTGGAAAAGACTGGATTCCTTATAACTCTGTTTATTTTTTCATTCTACTCCTGCTGGTAGAATGATGTTAATGAGGTGTGCTACTTTGCTTTTTGATCCTTATCTTGGCTTGGACAAACCGTGCATCAGAATTTGCTATATTTTGAAAATGTTATTGCTGAAATAAGAGATTAATAACTGTGACACCACAATCCCTTCTACATAAACATAAAGATAAAAGCCAGAAACAAGTTTGTATGAAAGCACAACTCTTTTGGGGCCTTTTTGGTAGTGGCCCCACAACTGCATTCCCTCAGGAAATAAATTTAGGCTCAGCTTTGGAAAAAGTTAAGCGTATTCTTAGGATGTTTTTATCTCAGTTTACTTTTTAGGAACTTTTTAATGAACTACTATTTTAATTGCTAATGATCATTTTAAGTCTATGTAATGCTGCTTTGATTTGATGAACATATGACTAGCATTGTGTTTTCAAGAAATTGTGTACACTGCCTTAGGAAGGCGACTGTGCCTCAGAGTTAGAAACTATCAGAACTTATTTAATAAATCTATAAATATTACATGTTAGTAAGTTCTATGAAAGTAAGAGATACTTCTGAGCAAACATGTTAGGTTTGCACAGCACAGCTACCAATCTTGGAAACTGAAATGAAGTTTGTGGAAGAAGTTTCCTGTGGATCATGATCATCTTAAGAGAAAGTTGTGCGGGGGGGGGGGGGGGAATCCTTTTTCACTACTGGTATTATTAGACCACATTATCATGATTCAGTCTTCTTGCCTTAAGGCAAGGAGGTCATGATGAGAATTCCCATGTAAGTATCTGCACTCAGCTTCAATACTCCACTCTGTGAACACATCTCATATTTGATTGACAAGCCAGAACCAATTGCAGGTGAAGAACAAGAGTAGGAATTAAGGTAGAGTGTATATAATTTCAGTTGCAAACACCTGTTGTGTGATCTGGAATGTGTCACAGCCAGAGTCCATCAAAGAAAGTGTGCTATCTATATATTCCATATAGAGTACTTCCCACTTCCCATGCTGAAGAACCCAAAATGCTAGCCCTGGACTGTAAACATGGTATCAAAGAAAGAGTAAGTGTGTTTGCACCTGTCTTTTGTTGCCTATAACTAAGCATTAGGGAAGGCATTTCAGCAACAAGAACGCAGCAAATGATGGACAAATGAAATAGGAATGGGATGCAGCTAAGTGAGGATCCCAATGGCCAGATCAGGTCCCCAGACAGGTGGAAGCAGGAGTAGGTGCACAGGCCTGAGGTTCAGCACCTCTGATGCACACTACCTCATCTGTAGACCACCTGAAAGACTGAAACCCAGAGTGTGTCCTTGTGCAACTTTGGGGTGTCTTCTTCAGCTATGGCACCCTGACAAACTCCCTTGAAAATACAGCTTGTCAAGTTGATCGTTTCATGAGCTCAGTCCAGATCCAGAAAGCGGAAACTCAGATTTAGAAAGAGATGCAGTTCCAAACAGAAAATACTCAGCCAACTGGCAGTCTCATGTGTGTCTACATGTGTGTGTTTTCTCTTTTAATTATGGGTTGAATGTAATTATAAGCATTATCTTCTGCAAGTGAAAACAAAAGAGAGTTCTCATACCACAACACTCCCTCCCTCCCTCCCTCCCTCCCTCCTTCCCTCTCTTCCTCCCTTTACCCGAGGATAGCTTTTCTATTTAATAAAGTTGATATACTAACATTACTCCATGTGAGATTACAAAAAAGCAGGTGAGTCATGGCTTGTGGCTCATGCAGACTTTATGGGAGGGTAGACAAACGGGTGTGGTGGATCAGACCTTAGCTGTGAGGAAGACCTGAAAGGGAAATACTCACTTTGCCTGAAGACTGGATACCTTTAATCATTGCCAGGCACACCATAACCCATGCAGCCAGTAAGCAGATGGTCATTTTCCAGTTTAAACCTCCACTTTCTGAGATAGAGCTGGAAATATTGAGTGCTTCTCTGTACCAATAATAAGTTGTAGCTGAGCTTTTTTCACATTCTGGCTCCACAACTGACCAAAAAAGCAAAGAAAAGCAGTAATCCAAAATATTCATCACAGCCTAAATAGGAAACAGTGCATCCACAGTTCTCTGAGGCAACCAAAGCAGTCCTAAACCAGTTCCTACACTTTGCTATCACTATTTTTTTCCTGTGAGGAAATCATAGGTTCTTGCATGAGGGGGTTACAGTAGAATAATGTGGTTATCTATCAGCATCCAGATGTTTGGAGACAAAAAATAGAAGGGAAATACAGTTGGGTGAATGGAAGGATGGACAAACAGTGTGTGAGTGTGTGTTAGAGCAGGAGAAACCATGGCATGTTGAAATTCAGCAGGAAGGGGACCATGAAAGAGGTGGGTTGATAACATGGTGGAGAGTAAGGATAATGGTGAATGAGATGACAATCTGAAGTGAAAATGGGATAGGATCAAGAAACATGTAGAGGCTCTCTAACTCATCAAGTAGGGTGGGGAAAAGGAAAGCACCGAAGCGCAAGTAGAAGAAGAGAGGGCAGGGAGAGGCAGAAATGGAAAGATCAAAGTTGATTGTTTCAGTTTTAGCTGGAGAAGAATGCAAAATCTTAAGCCAACAAAAGGGAGTGGTGCAGATCTACAATAAATGTAGAAGAGTGGTTTTCAGAATTGTAGAATTGGCATGACCAGACAAGTATAATACTGTAGTTAGGCCAGGTAGGTGGCAGATGAGGAAGGAGGAGATGGATTTATAGTGGCAACACCAACTCTTTCGTAGTCCTTTGGAGGTGCTCAGCATCATGAAAACCTGAATGGAGATACTAAATGCAGGAAGAGAATTTGTGTCAATTGTGGTTAAGTTATGGAGTTGTGAATGCTCTACAATGATTGTATCAAGAACATCTAACCTTACACAAGTTTATTCACAAGTGAACCCCATGCAGTTCAATAGCATCCACTCTCAGGTAAATCTCAGGCAACTACAGCTTCAAATTACTTTGAATGTACATAATGCAGTTTTTGTAATGAATATGTATATGATAGCATTTTCTCAAACAGCTTAAGATGTTGAAATTCTGTATTCTGTAACTTGCTGGAAAATTGATATGACATTTAGGAAAATGTGAAGACATTTTCTGACAAAGGGTTTTTTCACCCTTTGCTTTCAAGCAACCCTTTGGCCCCTGAACAATGTCTAGGGCACCACAGGATGCTTTGCAACACCTAATCCCGGGAAGAAAACTGAGTTCCAATCTTAAAAGGAAGCCCTGGTTCTGGATCTCTCCTGCCCTTCTCTAGCTTTCCCCACCTATGCAGAAGGCTGTGCAGCAGCTCCTTGTTCCGAGTCACAGGCAGTGGCTTGCTGGTGCTTGGGGCAGGGAGGGGACAACCATCTGTGGGAGCCAAAGGCCTCTCACGCCTGCCCTCGCACTGGAGTACGTGCCAGTCAGATACACCCAGAGGCCCAGTCACAACTTGTTTCCAAAGAGGGGTGACATGTGTATAAAAATATCAGTTGTTCCTCCCAACCTGCATGGTTCTTGCCAGCAGGACATTGGGCAGGTGGACCAATTGGATGGACAGACTGTCAGGATTACAAACGTTTCCTTTAGGAAGAATATTCAGGCCTGTTCCTGCAGGCAATTTCCATTCCATGAGACTCTATTAGAAATACTCTGCAATGTGTGGCTTGAGGATTGTAGCCAAAGGCTGTGATCCTACTTCAGTCAAGTAAATACAATCTTTGCCATTGAACTAAGCAGAAGATAAAGTTCGGCCAAACATGTTGATCCTTTTCTTGAACCATATAAGGTGCCTTATACAAGAAAAGTCCATTGTTTTACTGCAATAATTGTATGTACTTGGATAATCTGACTACAGAAGAGCAACAGTAAAGCTAGCAAGCTTCTTATCGAGAAAGTTTCTGCAACTTTTCAAAATTGCCTATTTACCTTCTTCAGGCAAAGGGAAAAAAATACTACTGGAAAAGCAATTAAGATTTGTTTCTCTTATTATTTGGAGATCAAAGCATGCGGTCATCAAGAGATAATTAAAGCCTAGAGACAGATTGCACTTCATAGTGCTTCATGATATGCCAGAATGTGATTATTTCATTATGGCTCTGAACAATTGCCTAATTCCTGTTGATATATGAATAGACAAAATATAGTCTGATTATTCACAGGTATTTCACTTATCCTCCCTGGTTTTCTCTTGCTTAGTATTTAAGAAAACAGCATGACTGTAACAATGAAATAATTAGTGTAACATTTAATCTGAATTTATTTACAAACTTTGTTTTAGTGGAAATGTTGACATTGTTACGGAAAATGTTTGGCATATAGCATCTAAAGGTTTCAAAACTTACACCTTTTTGTTTCAAATGGACCCAAGTGCTATTATTAAAATAAGGAAAATAACCTTAGAATGCACAATTAATTTTTGCTTTGGAGATTCAATTCATCTGTTTCTACTTTTAGCATTTTAGATTCAAGAAGACTCAACCTCAAATATTATGATTATGGTTGCTGTAAGAGCAGCCATGGACTGTAGGATATAATGAATTCCCCTCTCAAGTCATGGCTATGACTTTGGGAGAAGAAATACAAATAGGGATTTTCCCATCCTCTTCCCAGCCACCATGGAAAACCCTACAGTAGTTTCTCATCCAAGGATGCAAAAGACTGATCTGGGTGGGATTGGAGGCCAAACAGGTTCTCAATGGAGCAGCCGAAGCCTGGAGTCTCTGCCACTGCTTCCACTCTATCTCAGCTGGACTTAAAATCACACTCCTAGAGACTTCTCCGAACAGATGCAATCCATCCCTTCCCCTGCACTGAACTGCATTTTTTTAAAAAAACTACACATTTGTATATAAGATACATTTTGATGTAATGGATGATTAGGAGGATGGCTGGATAAGTCATTTAAAAGTCTTGTTTCGAGAATAATTTGCCTGACATTAAATTCTCTGTCGGATCCATAACATCATGCCCCTGCTTTATGTTCATAGTGGCTGCTGATGGATTGAGGCATGTACGGGCATTCAAATGGTCAGAGTACAGTCAGTACTCCACATTTGAAAAGGTTAGGGGCAAAAGACCCCTGCAAAATGGGAAAACCATTAACATCTCTACCTACCCAAACCTTAACTCTTAATACTGTTGATTACATGTGTATTGGTAGCTGCATTATAATTACCTCTTTCACAATTTGAATAATGTTTAGCTTAAAACGAGACCTGATATGCCAGAGTGCGGCCTGCTCCAAGGGAGCTTGTCTTGGGTCATGAGTCTTATGTGCGCCCACAGGCAGAGATTCCATCCATGATTTTACTTTCATGGCATCATCTGCCCAATTCTAACAGGAATCCATTAAAAATTTTACAAATTGCATACAAAACCTAAAAAACTGGAAAAAGTTTGTCTGTTTTTTGTATCATTTAAAAAACCTACACAAGGGAACTGGAACAGTTGATTGCACAAGGAACCTAGTAACTGTTGAAAAAAAAATGCCAACTCAAACAGCAGAAACTTCCTGGACTTTTTTATTTTCGACTTTTTTTTCATTCAGCACACTTTTTAAACCAGATATCAAGTGTTATTGCTAAGCATAACACTGTAAAGATATTACAGGGTGTGGGGAGCTGGGGTAAAATCAACAGTTTAATTTAACAATACTGACCATTTTAGTTCCCAATAGTTGGTTGCATATTAACTACTAACCTACAGATATCTTAACCCAAACTTCAGGAAAGTATTAATACATTTTAGACTAAATTATCAGCACTCCATAACCTCTCATTTGTTTATTGCTGTTGACTCCTACAATGCAGATAAAACATTAATAAAAACATACTTTTTAAAAAAGAGAGGAAAAAGAAATATTAATGTATGCAACACTTACACGTATGCGAAGAATTTTTTACCAAAGGGCATTGGTCCCAAGGCAACGGATGCTGGAAAGACTGAGAAAAGTAAAACAAACTCCACCCAATGATGACATTATAGTAGAGGGCCACAAAAAAGCACACCTGCAGAAACAAAGCAATGCATGATTAAAAACATTTCTTCCCAATTAGGAACTGCATTCATTAGAGGTGAGCAATGCTTTTGTCCCAGATGTCTGCTGTGTTAAGCTGCAAATATACTTCTTTCTCACACATATCCACACATGCATGGCTTCTCACTCATGCTTACTCAAACAGCAAAACTTCTTGCTCTTGCATAACAGAACTGTAGTATTGTCGCTCCTAACCACCCACAACATGATGGTATACCATGAAGAAGGGGAACCACATTAGGAACAGGCGACATGGTTACTGCCACAGAGAAGTTATCTCATTTCTAGGACATCCCAGGAATTAAGCAGGAACTTTCAACCACTGCTCTAGAACTGAGGTTTGAGGAACCATACAGCCTGTTGGTAGAGCATTTTTACTCCTCCCACTTCATTCTGAAAGTGGCTTCCTGGATGATGGGTCTGGGGGAGCCAACATCCATGAAGGAATCACCCCAGCCCATTATATTGTGTTGCTTGTACAATCCTGGCATACCCATCAAATCAAATTTTTCAGGGACTGTCTCTTGGTCCAGTCCTATGATTTGACATGGCAACAAGTACTGCCTTAGGATGGGATGTGCCGAAATCTCGCTGCAGCTTTCCAGCACATATTGCTGGGTGTGCTGAATTTTTGCTGCCCTAAGCCTGACCTTCCTAGATGGCAGAGCTAGCCTTGGATCCTGATCTTGCAGTCCCCAGAACTAGTCCAGCAGCTTATTACATTCCCACAAAGAAAAAGTCCAGTTCCCACACAAAGGTGAACTGGGGCTTTGCATGGGCACTGAGGCTGAGGAGTTCCTCCACAGCCATTACTCTTGTAGCCTCAGTGCAAAACAGCAATGGAAGCATAATTGTTGCTCAGAAAAGAATACCGTGTGACTAGGAAAGCTTTATCATGGCACAGACTGAGGTTCCCACAGACCTGCAGCTCCCCATGCACTTTGCATAGGTATGTGATTTCAGAAAGTTCTTATAGGGCTATTTAGTGGCAGGTAAGACAGAGGTGGTTGTGCTTGTCCTGTTAAGAAAAAGGCAGGCTTAATTTGTCACAGGTTAGGCCACAGCAGATAAAAATGGTTTTTAACCCTGCGAGTGCATGAGCTTTTCCAAATACAGTTATGCATTAAGTTTTTTTTAATAATTTTAAATTTTCCTTTTTATTTTTTTAATAGACAGAAAAAAACATAAATACAATGCATCACAACAATGATAATATAACATAACAAAAACACAATAATAAAAAAGTAAATGATAAAGTGCCCTCACCACCCTGGAGACCAATGCTACCACCATTCACATACTATAACAATTAATAATATATAATATACTTTAATTATATCTATATCCCCTCCAGAAATTCATATAATCTTGATTGGGTTTACAGCCTTTGCCTTCTATCAGTATTGCTTTTACAAAATCTTCCCAAATTTCATTCTATTTACTTGCTTTCATTAAACCTTTCTAAATTTTTATTTCTGTCGTCAGTAGTTCTGCATTAAGGTTTAGACACTTGTAGCAAGCAGTTACTTACTATACAGCTGGCAAATCCAATTCCACCAAGTTTGGGGCTAATATAATTCCACACTCCAATGCTTCCACGACGAATTCTTTGACCCACTGAAAGCTCCAGGAAAAAAAGTGGTATTCCTATGACCACCAGCAAAATTAAATATGGCACAAGATACGCACCTGTTCAACCAAGAAGACATTGAGTAACATTAGAGTAGTGAGCTATCTTGCAGAAATAGCTATCAGAGAGGAAAATGAGCATGGTCATTAAGAAGGGCTGCAAGGGTGCCAATAGACGCAAACATTCACCAAAGCAATCAGTGAAAACAGGATCACTCCAGGACCAGTAAAACTCAGATATCGGGTAGAATGCAATAGACAGACTAAGCACACAGAGAAGTAAGAATATGCAAGTGAGATATTTGGACAAATTATTGGTGAAAATGGCTTGTGCAAAGGAGGAGGGAGAGGAGGAGGAAGATAGATTTCGTGTGTGTGTGTATTGCATTTCTCAAAACCAGGAGTGAATAACTTGTGTCCCTTCAGATGTTTTGGCCTACAATGCCCATCATGCCTCACCATCATCTATGCTGGCTAAGTCTGATGGGAACTGTAGGCCAAACATCAAAGCAAACAACCCAGTGCCCTCTCACAATCAACAGCTTCCTTGAAAGAATAATAAAAGCAGGGAGTGACTTGCACTTTGCAGGCATGCCTGGAATAGGAGATCTAGATACTCTGATCCTTGGCAAAAACTGCACTTTTGGCTCAGTAAAACATAAAGATACTGTCTAACCATAAAATGCATAACCAAAGCACACATGGAAGTGCAGAAATAAATACCTTCTGCTTTTACTATGAAGAAGCAATCCCTCCTTTCCCACTTTTAGTCTGTGTCAGGGTAGGCAACTGGAGTTCTCCAGATGTTTTGGAGTATAAATCTATAAGCCTAGGCCAGCATGACCAATGTTGAGATATCATGACATATGCATTCCAGAACATCTGGGGGATCCCAGATGACTTCTCCTGATTCATCTTTCACTTTCAAGTTTGCCTTTCCACTCAAACAGTCAAAATGTATGTCTTGTTAGCATTCACCATTTTCGTAATATTGTGAAATTGTACCAAAAATGCAAATATTTGGCAATGTTCACAGCACTATTTTCCGCAAATGCTTCCTTCATCAAAACTTTGCCAAAAATATTCAAGAGGCACAATTGTAAGCAAGTTTAGAGAGAAAAAATGTACAATTCCCAACATTGCCAAACTCAGTGCTGGGAACTATAGGCCTTCTTCATGCCTAAATTTGCATCTGATTGCAGCTTAAGTGTGTATACCATAACAGGAAGTGGTAACTTAATCAGATGCCTAACTTTTGATACCCACTTCTAAGATCTAGCTTGAAGTCCCTGTGCATCTAAAGCAGACAATTTTTCCTAATGACATGGACACTGTGGTATGTCAAAAGGAAATTCAGCTGGCCTCAAAATTCATCTTTTCAGTAGTTACCTTTAGGCATTTCCCTTTAAATGCCACTCTAAATGCTTCTGTTTGTACCATCACGTTTTATGAATTTGATTATTTTTGTCTATATAACTTTAATTTGCAGGTTCTATGCTTTGTGTTGGATATTTAGTGAGTACCTAAACATGCATGTACAGCATTAGTCTTTTTCTGTGCTCCTTTTGACAGGACAAAGATGTACATTATTAAAGTAATCTACAATATTTACAAAAGGAGTAAGCTTAACGGAATAAGGATGGTAAACATAAAAAGTGTGCTCTTATCTCTCCTGCTAAAAATGGTTTGGTTCAGATATGACATAGGGATGATCAAAACATTCTAGGATTAATGCTTTAATTTGCATTTTTCCATGGAAGATTTATAGGGTCAGGGATTATATTCCATAATTTAAAACATATAAAATATACTTTGTTTTTACACACTTTATAGGCACTGATATCTAGATGAGATTTTCTTTGCCATTTACCTTGTTTGTCAAACAACATGCTCTGCAAACATCCCTGTTTGCAGAGCTGGCAGGACGTTTCAGTAATTATGAGAAATCCAATAATTGTGAAGAACAACAGGAAGTTATAGAATGCCTGTGTGCAACTACAGGAAAAAATAATTGCCAGCAATTTGCAGTAGGAGAGGATGTTCACATTTCAATTTTATTGGAGAAATGCCAAATAAATTATAAGGGCTTGGCAATGCTCTTTGAGAGGAAAAACCCTATGGAAAGGCATTTAGCAATAAATCCTAATATTTGTGTATATTTTCTTTTCCTCTCCTTCCCTGTTTCTGGGAACTGATTCTAAGACTGAAAATCATTCTAATCTTCTCCTTCTCTGCCCCACACAGGTATAAACAATGGGCAGACTTAACATCAGATGAAGCATATCAAGGCAGCAAGCTGAGCTCCACCTCTAACTCAAAGCTGCGATCCTACACAGACCTGAAAGCAATGAAAATTGACTCTGAGCTGATACTTATGACGAGGCTTGTTTTCGAAGAAAGCATTTTGCTGTCTGTCTTTTGCTTTCACTGTGCTTTGGTAGAAGCTGCTGTTTGTGACTTAGGGACAAACTACACATTCTTCTAATCACACTGCCCTCCCCCCCCCCACCGCACCCTCATTTTCCATGGAGGATTAAAAAGAAAAAAGAAAATCTCCATTAGCAATTTCTTAGCTACAGCTGTACCTATACAAAGTGTGTTTTTGGCCTTAATTCTTTTATTTCCATTGTACCTGGGAACATTGCTGTTTTTTAACCCATCCATCTTCCAAATAATGGAAATGCTGATTATCTTAACAGTGTAAACCTATGCAGGTATAAATAAAATAATCAAATCAAACATTTTTGAGGAAATATTAAAAGCAACAAAGTTGTTCTTCATTGAAAGGGGCATATTCAGGGACTAATTGGATGCATTTAACATGCTTTTATGTATTTAACATGCCTGTTTTAAATACAAGTAACAGCCTTATGAATGGGAGATAATTATTTGGATTACAGATGAAGGCAGGGAGAGTTCAACACTTTCTTTCCCTGCTGCAAACCTGATGAAAGCCACTCCTCAGAAACTGTTGACTATCTTAGGAAGAAAGTTCCAGCAGATGCCTAAGGAGCATTTACTCCCAATACAAGCATTATCTTCCAAGGAAAGATATTAATCAGGATGCATCAGAGGAAGAAGAAAAGGTTAAGCTGTCAACCTCTTTGCACTTGCTGCATTCCAGATAATGAGCATCCCTCTCTTCAGTAGCTGCTACTTTGTTTTAGAATTTATATTCCACCCACTAATCCAAATGAATTCTCTAGGTGGATTACAGTATACACATATATTTTGCTTTTTTCTTATGAACTCAAAGTGGCTTACATCTTTCTCCTCCTTCAGTTTTATTGCCATAACAACAACCCTGTGAGATAGGTTGGGCTGACTGGCCAAAAGTCAGCCAGTTGGGTCCAAGACTGAGTCCCACTCACACACACTTAACTACCACACCACATTGGCTCATATTTTTAAAATGTGGTGCTAAAAGCAGATTTGTCTAAAGGATCTGGGAGACTACACTGATTACCACAGCAGTAAGAATGGAATAAGACAGCTTTCCCTAGTATGGTGACCTTTTTGGAACACAACTACCATAATTCCATATTACTACTGATATAACTAGGGCTTTTGAGAGTTGCAGTCTAAAATATCTTGACAAAAACATATTTGGAAAACTAAGTGCATGAGACCAACAGGGACCAGTAGTAGTGGCCTTAGGCAAAGTCAATGCATTAGTACAGAGCCTTACCGCCACCATTTTTTTGACACAGGTATGGAAATCGCCACACATTCCCCAAGCCTACGGAAAAGCCAACTTGCGCCAGAATGTACTGCAGTTTGTTGTTCCAGGCTGGTCTCTCTTCTTCTACATCAGATCCCTCTTCCACATCTACATCTTTGTCTTCTGAATCATTAACGGACAGCTCACTTTTCTTGAAAGCATCTTCGATGGAGTCTTCATTTGATAGCAGATCTTTGACTGATTCAATGACATCATCATCTATTTCTCGTTTTACCACCTTGCTGTTCTTAGGCATTTGAACAAGTTCACTTCAGATCCACTTCAATTCAGATGGGCTATCCAGCCTCAGTCAGTATCTGTTTTTTGCTAAGCCAAGAAAATGTGAGGAAAATGTCAACAAAGTCCTTTTGTGTGATGTGATTGAGATGCTTGTAATTGCTTGCTGTGTGTAATTTCTTGCTGTTAACATAAATACCTGTAAAATGGATGCATGAATATATGTTACCAGGAAAAGTTGCTTCATATTTTATCTGCAGACAAATGACAAATATGAACGTATGTGCTTCAGGACATAACAAAAATAGTTCTTTTTCCATTACTTTTATGTATACAAGCAAAAGATAAAAGGCCAATTGCTAATATTACAAACTTCTCCTGCTTCTCAACTGCATCACTCCATATAAATCTTTCAGAAGGCAAATGTTTGCTTAAAATAAAACATTTTTCCACTGACAACTGAAAGCAAGTGAGCTAACTCTGTGGTATGATCACAGTACTTTTATAAATGTACCCCAAAAGATTATTGATTTTTTTAAACAGGCACAAAATCTCATAACCAAAACACCTCAATGGAACATTCTTAGCTAAGGTTTTAAAATTGGAATGTATTGCTTTCGACATCTAAAGCTGCAATTTCTATTTTTTTTTTTTTTTTTGTATTTGTTAAACTCTCACAAAACTGATTTCACTGGCTGTTGTACAGTTCAGTTTAAAGAGTAGTCAAATAATTAATGGACATGTATAATATGGATACAAAACTAAAACCACCACCAGGTACAAGAGTTAGTTATACCATAATAATTAAAGCAGGAGGTAGTTCAGTGTCAGGCAAGAAGCTTCCCCATGACTTGCAAAATGCAGGCATACATAATGCAGGTGTGGAGGAATGATAGCTAAGTAAATCATTTCATGTAAGAGTGTATATCTTTACTGTAAATATACCCCTGTGGTCAACCAAGAATTCAAGTTCCAGTATAATATTGGCTGTTGATAGCTTTATCAACTGGCATGAATAGAAACAAGGTTTTAAGGTGCATCTTTCACACACACACACACACACACACACACACACACAGGTACTTCAGGAAATCAATTTGGCACTGTGTGCATATGGGCTGAGCGATTGTGGCATCTGAGTTTGGCAAGCAGTGGTATATTCATTTAAATTTTCATCCTGGACAGTAAAAGTGCAATCCAGATCAATCATGCAGAGTCAAGGCAAATAACCAGTATACCTGTGACCATTCTGGTTCAGTAGTGCAGTCAATGCAGGCTAACTTGAAAGATGGGTGGGGAAGCAAAGCCCATCAAGTCACATGCTGACTACTACAACTTGATCATGTGAATGAGTCCTGAGATTACTAATGAGTCTGCCTCAGTGAAATCCACAATGCAAGTTTTATTTACATAAGAATAAGGAAAGGATGGCTAGAGGGAGACAAAACTCCCACAACAGGCTAGCTTTGCAGTTTTACTTAACAAGAAGTGCATATCCTTCAAGATCTAGGAGGAACATTCTGAAGTTATAGTACTTCCTTCTCCTTTTGCAGCCTATTGGCTTGCCTTTCAGTATGACACCTTTTATCAGACTGACAGACACTCAGCCTTAGGATTTTTTTTTTCAGATTTCTGAAGAGCAGTTTTGTTTCCACACTTCTTCAGCAATGATGACAAGAATACATGAATTAAACCATGGGTGGGAAATATATAGTCATGCAATTCTCATCATTTCTCACCACTGGCCATGTTGGCTGTGGCTGATGGTAGTTGTTCTCCAACAATATCTGGAAGGCCACCCCTTTACCATCACTGAATTATAGCAACCTAAAAGTATTTCATTTGCCTCCCAGCTTCTAAGCTATTTGAACTAAGAAGTCAGGTTTGGTTAGAAACTTGACCAGTACCTGTCCCTATAAAATTAAATATCCTGATTTCATTTTTTGACTGTTTCAGATAAAGGTCCTTAGTTTTGTTTGCATTACTTTCATGGTGCTGCTACAATCTGTCATGGTAATGTATACCAGGCTAGATATTTTTCCTTTCATAGGAGACTGTCAAAAATAGAAGATCATGTTGGAAAATCAAATCTCATTTTAGAAAAAGTAGCAATTGCTGACTATATCCCAGCACATTTGGATCAGTGTATATGCCATATAGCTTGGATGAACCTAGTACAAGTTGGGAATAAAACCTGAGAAGGGAGAAGTATAGAGGGTAGAACTAATTTAACTATGTACTAATCCCTATAGGCAGTTTTGGCCAAAGTTGTATGTATGTATCTAAATAATGTAAAAGAATTAAATCTGTGCATGGATTAAAAGATAAAGCTACTTAATAGGATGTAGAAAATAAGGGGAATACAAATATTTCCTCATTTAGCATTTTGCAAATAATCAGAATTATTTAATCATGCTGATTTAGCCTATTTAAATCAGCATTAATGGATATTTATATAGAGGTGAACATTTTTCCTTCCTTGAACATGCTAATCCTCATTCCCCACATTTTGAGCAGAGCTGAATTACCCTGTACTGCCAAAACAGAATTAGCATGTCTCAAGCTAGGAATGGTATCATAATCTCTACAGTTAATTTGTTTGTCTCCTAAAACAGGGGGTAGTGCAGACAAAACATTATACTGTCCACTGACTCAGCATCATGTGAGCAAACATTCCCACAGGAGTTCCACATGATAAAGATGAAATGATACCAGTAGGCAATTGGGGACCTAGGGATGGACTTTAGGGTCAAAGATCAGGCCCCCTCAACCCTGAAGGCCCTCCAAATGGGGAGAAGGGCATGGCATGGTGGCAGAGCCAGGAGATTTGGATGCAGAAAGTACCACATGTAATGCTGGCATCTCCAGGCTCTCCTGCCTGACATTCCAGACAGCCACTGCCACCCCGTGTCAACAGTACTAAGCTAGATGGACCAATGATCTGGTTCAGGATAAAGAGGCTTCCTATGTTCCCATATGACCACCCAGAAAGTGGCAGGCAATGCAGGCAACAGCCACATCTTCCCTAGCAAACTCCATTTTGTTCCTGTACTCATGCTCAGGATTGGCAAACATTTTTTAGCTGTTTTGCTGTAACGTATCAGGAACATAGAAGTAAAGTATGGAAATGTAGCACAAGGGTAGAGAGGGAAGTGCATTTAATACACAAGGATGCCGAAATAGTGGCCCTTTAATTGGCTAAATTTGTTAGATAGTAGAAAAAGTGTATGATTACAGCCAGCTTCTTCAAGCTACAATAATATTCGCATTGTGCACATCACTGAGATGGTAGAGGTGGAGACCAGGATGCAGGAGTCCCCTATCTGCTAGCCATCGCAAGAACAATGAAAGAATCGTGTTTTATTACTGAATAATGTATTTTTAATTATTAAATAGCATAAGCTTGAAGAGAATTTTGGAAGCATCATGGATCTGTTGACTTTTTTGTTTGCTTCCGTGGGAACCTGTGCGATTCAGTGCTGTGTGACTGAAAGACTGAAGCATGACTGGTGCCCTCCATGCTGGTTAGAGCCGCTCCTGTTACATTGCTAGTGCACACTCTGGAATGACAAAGAAACACTAGAATGAAAAGGTGGAGGTTCTAGAAAGGAAGGACTGACTTTCTGCTGTCACTGTTACTGCTATGGACTTCATCCTTTGCCTGCACATATTAAAGTTGCTCAGTTGCCTGTGGAGAGAAGAGAAATATGGGAGAAGAGGATGAGGTGGCAGCTGCAACACATGGGTCCCGGTGCTCATAAGGTGCCCATATGTTTGGTGAGAGTACGAAAGGGCGCTGTCACCTGAGTGCTTCTAACAGGAGGGATGCAGGTGGAGGAATTCTGCTTTGAGGAACAGTTTCTCCCTACCTGGTAAGCCCTGCTCCATGACTTACCTGTGCAGTGTGCTTTATCTTTGCAGTTCCAGACACAGGAGTTAAGGTTCCTGGTAGATGTTTGAATACCTGCAAGGATTCTGAGAAAAAGCATAATTCTTCTGCCCTTCATTTGTTTTTCTTTTTAACATTCCCAACTGTTAAGTGGTTGGCTGGCTGGTTGGCTGGCTGGCTTATTTGTGCAAAGTGCTCTTTATGCAAAGCACCCCATCTCCAAGTTCTCAATTGTATTTCCTTTACATGGATCCACAGAGATGTAACCCATGCAGTGTTGATCAGAATCCTACCTTTCACTGTGACTTATGGGTAGAAGAGATCAAAAGGGGGCAGATATCCAGACCTCTCCATTGACTCCAATGACACCTCCAAGAGCTTAGGATTCCGACTTAGGCACATGGGATTCCTCTACCGCATGCCCAACTGCACCCTGCTTCTTGAAGTCCTGCTAGCATAGGTGTTACACATGTGGTGATTTCTCATCAGTGCAGGAGGAAAACTATGCCAGATAACATCATATTCTGTTGTGTTGCCAATGCAGGATGACTTTATCTTTCCCTTTGTGTTAGGAGCAATTCCTATCCCTTTATGCATGTTTCAAACATTCAGTTTGTCATGATGCTGAATTATATTGTATCTCTCAAACCAATCTAGAACAGAGATGCATGGAAGGTAGTTTGGAACCTATGGATAACCTCTGCATGAAGTGCAGTAGACTAGCCAGAGTCTATGACTCTTGATTATTTAACAGTAGCAGCAAGAGAATAACTGAAGCCAACTAGATCAGGGTGTTCAGATTAAGAAACTGGGAGTGGACATTTGTATGAAAGGTATGGTTCACTTCTAGTATGGGAAATAAATTCCTAAGCATAGGTTCAGAATATGTTCAAGGTTCGCCAGTTCTTTAATTCTATGTGATTTTTTTTAACATTTAATTCACTTGATCTTGGGCTTCTGGTTAAATAAAAGGTAGATCCAACAAACTTGTAGTCTGACCATTGCCGCTCTCAAGTATCTTTGGAGTTGGACTGTTCTAGAATATGAGGTAGAATATTAAAGAACTTTCATTTGTATTAAAAATCCCTTTATAATAGTACTTAAAATCTGTTACGGAAACCTGATATATT